GCGATGGCCTCCAACCTAATAGCGATGGCCTCCAACCTAATAGCGATATCCTCCAACCTAATAGTTATGGCCGCCAACCTAATAGCGATGGCAACCTAATAGCGATGGCCTTCAACCCAATAGGGTGTCATGTGTGAAGAATGAGAAGGATATACCAGCATCCGGAAGACACATGCAAATGAACAATCTGTACTTGTTGGGATCACTGAGCTGAAGATGATTCTGATCATTTGGTTCTGGGTTTCTTCCGTAAAAGATCTGAGAAGATCTGAGAAGGCAACCCTGAGAGGACCTGGCCTTGTCGTGGAGGAAGAGGATCCAACAAAGTACAGCTGATATTCACACTCGACGAAGTCGTCAGGAGGCGCTTGGTGTTGTTCTTGCTTATGATACACTCCCAAAAACTAACATGGACCCTGGGAATGGGACCCGGACGGACTGTTTTCCTCTACCAACCAGTGGTTTTCAGGGTCCATCTTAGTTTTCCACGGGGTATCTACATGGAAATAGGATTGAAATTGATACATTGATAAAGAACATAGGTTCTGCACGATGAACATGGGTTTTCCATGAAGGTCACCTGAGCTAGACACATCAATGTGTCTATACTATTAATATGCGATTCTGCAGCTCTTCAAGTGATAGCAGTCCACTTGTGTTTCAGCCGAATATCGCTGCTTGCACTGCCACGACCGCAGTGCTTGCGGCCCTCAAAGGATTGGAATTCAGCTTATAGATTCTGCACCAGGAATTGCTTGGTGTGCTGTGGCCCTGCAGGCACAACATGTGCCGTGTGTTTTCTATCCAGAATCGATTTCAAGAGGCTCCTCTCAGACTGGTGGAGGAATGTTTTTGATGTTGAAACATGACCAAAAGCACCTCAGGAGTCATTCAGTTGGTTTTATCGTGTTTTATCAAATTCTCAACTCTTGTATTATTCTCAGCCTGTTTTGGATATCTCAGATGTCAACATCAGGGGCTCCTTGCGGCCCCTTCTTGTGCTCCGCACCGAGACAGACGAGACAGTCCTGGCGTAGAAGTTGGAGACCACCCCGATCAACTTCTGGGGACTTGGTCTATGGCCCGTTGGCATCCTTTGATGCTGCTGATGCACCATGAAGGAACAGATGCAATCACAATACATCACAAAACCATGCTTCGGGGTCTAAGCCCCCAAGCTGCTTCGGTCTATCCCATGCTGCTGATGCACATCCAAACAAAACAAGGGTCCAGACTTAACGACGAGTCTTGATATTAACCGAATCGCCGCTTCTTCCATGGCGGAAGCACCGCGTCGGGTACACCATGAGGGAGTCGACCATGGTTTTGGCGCCGACGGTCATGTGAGCTTTCTAAAACGCCAGCGATGTTGTCGTGCTATACATTCCCTGGACGTATCATTGAAGTGGATGGCATGGTTTTGTGAGGATGGTTACCAAACCGGTGGTTTTCACGAAACGAAAGCGAGGATTCCAGGCACGAAAGTAGGACGATTCTAGAAGCTATCAAGCTGCGGTCCGCAGCCTGGATTGAGTATAAAAAGGCTTTTCTCATGTGAGAAAAAGGAGCATCAGCTGCGGGCAGCGATTTCGAACCGTTTGAACGGAATGTGATGTTCCTCCCGGTCCTGGCAGCTTCCTTCTTTCAATGTCAATGAGCTTCCGCCCCATGCTTAAGATGCCCAGGAAGAGGATGGAAGATGCCGGTTGACCGTATTTTTCAAGTTATGCCGCTGATCCGCTCGGCTTTTGCCTCTTCGCTTGCACAACACCGTGCTTGGGGGCAGAATCGGGCGCTGACCTGAAAATCATGTGTTCGCTGCACTGGTCTTCCGATCGAACCTTTAGAGGGTAGCGACTCACAAGGGGATGAATCACTAAGCCTGAAATTCGGTGGGGAAACTATGCAATTTTCTTCGGGATGGATACTGGGAAAGATTCAGCCAACTCTGCACACCATCCTCGCAAATGGGTGTTTGCTGATCGTCATTCCTCGAGGATGCAGGCGATGCTGAGAACGACAGGTCAGCTCTTCCCTTCGCGAAGAATTCGAGCGTCGATGCAAATCCTTCCCCAGACCATCCATGGGACTGGCCTATTCGACTGATCAGTTAGGGTGGTTGACCTCGGGGTGCTTCTGGGGCGGCATAAAGGATTTCAGTCCGGAAGGCAATCCCTCGGTGTTTGTTTCCATTCACCACCGCTAGGAGCTGTCAAGGACCTTAAGTGGGGTCTGAGTCTGTCCCAGTTCACTGGGAAGGAGGGGCACCAAGATGTGAATTGGGTTCTTTGGACAGCAACATGGTTCTTTGAGTTGTGAGTCATGCGACTGAGTCAACATGGCAGGTGGGTCCAATGACGGACTTCGTCCGTCTCTCAGCGCTACGGTCGGTGGACCCCGGTTGCGGCGAGTCTCGTAGTCTGCTTGATTCATGGGTACCCAGGCTTTTGGACCACGCCCTTCAGGTTTTTGTTTCCCTGTAGAATTCTATATCGAGGATCAAGTGGATGCAGCTCAAAACTCGGAGCCCCAAAGGTGGTTGATCTGATTGGTTTCGCTGGTCAACCAAGGTGCCCTGGTTTCACCCATAGCAGGTATATGCAGGTGGCCTGGGTATCCCACCAGGGACCAGTCACCGGAAAGCCAGTTGTATGCTGGCGCTCACCATCCAATCCATTGGGCGGCAGAAAACCCGAGAAACCGCGAAGCTTTCGCTCGGCTCAAATGCGCCGTCACCCGCGACCATGGTTGAGACATTAACCAGGCACTCTTCACGACCTGTCGACTCTGCGGAGCGTTGAATTCCGCATGTGCACTATCATTTGCTCGGTTCTGCATGGTTTTGCACATGTTTGTCGACATCACATGCCAGGTATCCGCTGGTTTCAGAAGGACCTTAATGAAAAGATTGAAAAGACAACAAGGTCTCACAGATTTTCAAGAGGAACATCGTTCCAGTCAACTCACTCACACGCGAACCACTGCTCCACAGGGTCTCTTTCTTCAAGGGCCCACTAAAGTCACTATGCTAGGAAATTCCGACCCTTTGACCATGAGGGAGCTACTATACCACTGAAGCCATGGGCTTGCGACTGTCGTGCCTGTTACAGGAGCATGGGGACCCGGTCGGCCCGGCGAAGACGAGTCGTCCGCCGAAGACGAGTCGCGCCAGGCCCTGTGGACCGCCTCGGGCGACTTCTTTCAGATCTTCCCGGCGGCACCGGCTGAGTCTTCGGTGTGGTCGGGCTGGGGGGGGTGCTGAAACGGGGGCCACGGGAGCTCAGCAGTGAAGCGAAAACAGCTGAGTGCTGGGCTGAAACGGTGCTGTCCAACGGTCAGCTGTGAGTCGTTGGTCAACTTGGTGCTGCGGTATGATGGGGTATGACGCGGTGTAGCGAAGGGTCGTATGGGTCGTTTGTTCCCATATGTCACTTGCTTATCTGATGCCTTCAGCATATGGTCGAGTGTTTCAGGTTGGTTGGTCAAGGAGTTGGAATCTGTTGCAACCTTGTGAGGCTTTATCTCTGTCTGAAGTGTATCACATCAGCTCAGAAACTGCTCATCCAGATGATGGTACAACCCTGAATCGCACGTGGATTTTTCTATTTGGCTCAAATTCTTTGATCATCCTTTCGTCACCGCCCCCAAGTCCCACCGATTTCACGGCTCGGATGGCTCAATGATTTTTTGGTGATTCCAAACGAGCGGACGGCCCCAAGAATTGCCTCTTGAAGGGCTTCTTATAAGCTCAAATCGGTCCACCATCATCGGATCCTGCAAACGCATGGGATCTAAGAAGATCGGTTTTCAATCCATTCGTCTTGGCAAACTTCAAGGGCTTTGGACCTATTCCAAAGCGCTTCGGACACATAGGGCCTGAGAGGTGGACAGGGCCTGAGAGGTGGATATCGACGCTGGACGCCTGCCAGATCGTGGACACCGCTCAGCACGCCGTCTATGACGCGGAGTCGGTGCCGGAACGAGCTGAGGGACCGTCGGTGTTCTGCCAATCAATCGGCAGGTGGTTGAGGTGGTCCCCACAAAGTCAGTGATGGGTTTTCTATACCTTATAGCCTTCCAAGACCATTGAAAAAAAAGAAGTTGACCATGCTTTTGTATACAGTGTAAAGTCCAGACAAAACATGGTTGCTCGGTGAATGTCAAGGCTTCAAAGGTGATTGGGATCCATTTCGGGTCGTTTTCTACAGGATGTGTACTTCGATCTGGAGAATTCTCTGTGGGCCTGTGGCCTGGAAGTGCCCTGGAAGTGTGGACCCTGACCAATTCACCATCCTTGCTTTTAAAAAATGCTTGGATATAGACATGAAAAGGTCATGAAAAGGATTGAAACCATGCTCCTCAGTCATCTGCCAGTCCATTTGTTCGGTCCAGGTGCAGATCGTGGGCACCGCAGATGCAGATGCTTTGGAGGACTGATCGCAGTCCCTGAGAATCAAGTGATGTCCCCATTTACTCCGGCTTGGTAGTGGTGGACAAAAACGACTTCCAGGTGAAGTAGAATGAGTCATTGGAAGTTGTGGGTTATTGCAAGGAGTGAGGTGCCAGATGCATGTGGAGTGCAGGGCTCTTGCAGTTGGTATGTAGCTGCATTTTGCCGGGATATTGTGTATTCACTATTGTTTTGTTGGGTTCTTTTGGGAGATCCTGGTGGTCTTCAGTGAGAGGGTGTTGGTAATTAAGAAAGTCATTTTGGTCGATCCTCACGCATGAAAACACAAAGGTGCTTTCTTGGAGTTGCCAAAACAGACCAACACGACTCTTCCTCCTCAAAATGCCTGTTGGCAAGGCCTACTTGGACTCTTGGAAGGTCCTACGCCTCAAAGAGGCAGACTTGACTGCGCTGCACTTGGTTCTGTCGGTGGGGCTGGCTCTCGACTGGGCTGCTTTTCAGCCATTGCTGAATGAAGCAGGTCTGGACCTTTCCAAATTCACCTAAAAACAGTGGAAAAAATGAGAACACCATCAAACTGTTCTCAACATGTTGGAAGAAGTATCGCAGATTGCCTGTCAGCCCTTTGTCAAGCAACCTGGCCATGGCCGGCCGTGCTTTCGAAAAAGCCCGCAGGCTCCGACACAGGCGCTCATCAGTGGGGAGCCCTGGCCGTTTGGCGCCCTTTCGGGTCAGTCGGACGGACCCTGAGGAATCATTGTCCATCGCGAGATGCATTCCCAAAAGACTTGCGAAATATCTATATATATAATATATATGATGTATGTTCAGGTTCTTCAGTAGCTTTCTGGGTTTTCCACAAGTTGTGAGGAAAGAGTCAATTTTTGGACTTGGTGATCACTTTTCGTGGCAGGCGCAGGGGAAACCTCATGTTTTGGTGGTCTAAAGTTGACTTTTCGTGACAGGTGCAGGAGATCGAAGCAGTTTCACGAAAACGAGCCACATGTCCAAAAGCTGCCACGAAATCAGAGCATGCCGAAGACCACCACCATGTCCAAAGTACTGCGCCTGCTGCAAAATCTGTACATCGACATCAGCAGGTGCAGTACTTTGTGGGCCTTGAAGTGCAGATTTCGCGGCAGGTGTAGTACTTTGTGGACCTTGCAGTGCAGATTTCGTGGCAGGTGTAGTAATTACTTTGTGGACCTTGAAGTGTAGATTTCGTGGCAGGTGCAGTACTTTGGGGCCTTGAAGTGCAGATTTCGAGGCAGGTGCAGTACTTGGTGGACCTTGAAAAGTAGATTTTGTGGCAGGTGCGGTGCTTTGTGGGCCTTGAAGTGTAGATTTCGTGGCAGGTGCAGTACTTTGTGGGCCTTGAAGTGCAGATTTTGTGGCAGGTGTAGCACTTCGTGGACCTTGAAGTGCAGATTTCGTGGCAGGCCACCACTCATCACCATCACCACCGCCGTCACCACGATCTCCACCTTCATCACCACCAATGCGTGTAGATCTCTAGACTTTCTGCTGCTTGCTACACCTATAGAGCTGAAACACACTGTTTGGTGTCTTTTGCCTAAATAATATTTGGCAGACTTTTTGGATTTGACAATTACCATGGATGGTTTTCCAGCATATCACAAGCAATCGGGGAGATTGAAGACAAATTTGTGTCATCATATGATTACAATTCATGTACCATCACCAGCTCATACTGCCACCTACTGAAAATGTAATTTAGTGCCTGGTTTTGTAACATGTTTGCACCATGTGCGCGTGGTGACCTCTTGCAGAGGCATCACTTTGTATAGGTTGTACATTTGTTTAAAAATGGAGAGTGCACTTTTGATTCAAGCCGCGAAAACAAGGCGACCAGCTGTTTTCACTCTGGTATAGCGGAGCGGCTTGGTCCGTTCCAGGCCTCTTTCTTTCGCCCGCGCCCTTGCCACAGTTGCAGCTGCTGGGCAGCAACACCTTTTGGACAAGGGTACCACTCCGTGCTGCTAACAACAACCGTGAACCCGTGATCCGTTCCATTGGACACGGGAAGATGGCAATCAACGCTCTACGGCTCAAGGAGTCCCAAGTGAATACAGAATTGAGGACGGCGCCCTTTTTGATGAATCTACGGTGGCGAAGCGTTCAAATTTCACGAGAGGCCGGATTTCAGGATGACTAGGGGACGAAGGCTGACGACCGCTGGGAAGGGTGATCTTCATATATACGGTAGGCGAGGACATTGGCACCATGGCATTGAAGGCATCAGATGCAATGCCAAACTTGGAGGTCAATGGCTGATATTTGCCTGCGCCTGAAGTCGCCAGGTTTTTGCAATGAAGCTTCTTGCTAGGGGATGAGCGCGTTTCTCGGTGTCTGCATGGTGGCAGATCGCCGAAGCATATCCAAGTGCCTGAGGGCGCTAGCGAATTCCTCACTAAAGTGTTGGAGAAGATGCAGGTGCGGTGGTCTATTCTCCGTCTTTTGCAGTAGAAATCTTGCAGACATCAGGAGAATTTGATTTGCTGCTTTTGTTCTGTTGTGTTCGCAGGTCACGAAGATATATCTTGAGCCCTCCAGGTCAAGTCGGCGCAACATGCATTTTGTGCGAAGCACCTTGTGATCGAAAGAGCCTCAACACTTGTATGTTTCTTCAAGGCGGCGTCTTCCAATTCTCCACTTGCTGCAAGATGGCGAACACCCAATCCTGATGCCATCACTGTCAGTTAAAAACATGTCTGGTGTGGACACCTGTCGCCATGAATGACAACTGATATTGATTGGATGCAGTTCGCAAAATTGTGCCCAAGCAGCCTAAAGTCAGGAAGGATGCCAGGTAGGAAGGTACAAAAACGGGGCAGACTTGACTTGGTGTAGAAAATCATACCCTGAGGATGCAATCAGGTCTGACTCTGTGCCATGACTGCTGGGCCAAAGTCAAGCACACACGTTGATGATCCTGCCTGGGCCAGAGGCTCAACGCACCATGGATGAAATCCTGGAGCTTCCAGCTCAATGGTGAAGCAACAATACAAGTTCTGTTCTGAGGAAGAGACATGGAGAAGGACGAGGGTTTTGCAATCAGTGTTCGCTGCAAGGACAGCACTTTGAAGATTCAGAACCGGACATTTGCCTGGTGATCCACTGAATGAGGAAGAGAAGAAATCGATGCAATCGACTCAACTGTCAACCTGACAATATCGTGCGTCAAGGATTCAATCCGCCTCGACGCATCTATCACAACGCAGAAGAATCCATTAAAGGAATTGAACTTTTGGACCCGCAGAAACAGACCCAGCAGTGCAGAAGATGGTGAGTATTTTCAGCGAGGAGAAGATGGACTCAAAGTTCTGCTTGGTTTTGGATGCAGCCCTATACTTCGAACCATATACCTCTCATAGAAAGTCGGCGCACCACGTCAACAGAATCACCGGTGGGATGCTAGCGCATGTTTTGTAGCATGTTTGCGCCAAGCGGGCGTGGCATTTGTTTACGACTGCAGCGCGCACTCTTGAGCCAAGCTGCGAAAGAAAGGCAAGCAACGGCTTCCCCATTCACACCGCTTGCATCCTGTTGCTGCTAATAAGTGCTACATGCACGCACCTGTGCCAGGAAAGCACCCCGAAGGGTTCAAAAAATGGTGTTGACTGTCACAGGCAGCACCTTTCAGCCAGTGCTCTAGCAAGGACAAGTGGAACACCTGCAGGTCACCTGTTTTGGCAGACTGGTGACAGGATGGGACAGGTGGAAAAAAATCTTTTCTCCAGGCAAACTCAGGGACACTGTATTTGAGGGGATAATCACCAACTTCAAACTAGTGGTGTTTTTGACTAGTCGTACCAATGGACCGCCTCAGGCGTTGGTGTGGGCGATTTCCGCAATAGCAGCTTGGGCCCGTGCCCCACAGACAGCCTGGACAAGTCATTCGGTTGAATGGACAAGGGAAAAACTTGTTTCAGGTTGATTTGCAAGTATTTACTATATGTTATATCTCCAAAAAATATTGTGGGTTTGCGGGCAATTAACACCATTATTTCAACCACAATGTACCGACATTAAGGGCGACCTGCAGCTCTTTATGTTAAACCCAAAGACAGTCCTTGCAAGTGTTCCTTTTTTTGGTCACTCTTATCCACAGCCAATGGCATCGCAGGTACCGCGAACTTGCAATTGCTGTTCCTGCATGTGAAATGGAGGAATGGTTACTTCCGACGTGCAAGAGTGCGGAAAAATGTTGTATTGCTCCTGGAAAGACCACGTTACCCCTAAAGCAACCACGAACACCATGGCCAAAAGTGCAGAATAAATACCTTCCAGGGCCAGATTCGTGTCAAATGTCCCGGCCCTTTGAAAATCTCCCACATATCCCCATCAACCGACCACGAGTTGCGGTTTTGTTATAGGTAGTTCAAGGCAGGATTGCCCAGACATGGTGTGTGTTTCGATGTTCTTGGTAGATTGGCCGTTGATTTCGTTGCCAAAACGGAAGAATGCGATCACAGGCAAGTAAGATCGACGATCAACCCAATGTTCCCCTTTTGGTGTCCTTGTCGCTGTCTACCAGACTTGGATTCAGACCACACAGAGGCTGGTGCCACTTGGTGACATGCCCTGGTGTCGATATACTGAGCTCTATGTAGGTGGGTCAGAGCCGAACAGCCAAGTAACCCAGAACTGCATGTTCAAAGATCAGTCTGAGGGCACACGTCATCAGGGCGCACCTTTTCATCCTGAGTTTGACATTGATCTAGAACATGAGAACCTTCCTTTCCAAGCACTTCCATGCAGGTGGATGTTATATGGTCCATGGTGCTATGTTGTTTTGGTGCAGGTGGATGACACCTCGGTGTCCGATCAAGTCCAGGAGATCCACCTCGATTGCAACAGTTTCTTGCGATGTCAAGAAAAGCTCCCGGCCTGCAGTCACACGTGCGGTGCCCCGGATGGAGATCTGGAGCAGATCGAATGAAGTGGTGAACGTAGACTCTTGATCAAAAAAAAGATGCCATTTGGATTGCAAAACCTCTTCATATGGAGGGTTGACATACAATCAAGAGTCTCACTCTTTCAGGTGATGTGCTAGATCATGTTAGATCCTGGCTGTGAGGGCTGTTTTAGTGCCTCAGAGACGTTTGAAGGCTGGAGTACATTTGGGTAGTCTCATAGAAGAGACTTGCCATAGAATATTATAGACTGCTCAGTAGTCATTGACACCTTATCCCAAAAAGTATCAAGCAGCTAAAGGGTATGATGAACCGATTGTATGATCATAGTGCGTGTTTGACAATAGCATATCCCTTATTGCAGGGTGCTGAAGAACACCTGGGCTTTTGAACGGTCGACCCTTCATTTTTCAATCCGACGCCAGACCAGACGAAGGGGAGGGTTTTGCTCTTCACTGGGTAGCTCCTGAACAAAGACTGCAGACTGCAGTTGGTAGCTCCTCGACATGGGGAATCCTCCCGAAACTGTCGAAAACGGACCAATCCTCTTTTGTCTTATAGAACGCGGAGCATAGGAAGGGGACGAAGCGACGCGAAAGGCAACAAAGGAACGAGAAAGACAAAGAGACCTGCACTGCAAGACTGCACGTTTTTTGTAACGTGTTCATTGGAGAATGGTTCATGTAGACTGTTGATAACGCCCCCGACCAGATTGGTTTTACGTCATTCTACATCTCCTTATTGGATGGTTTCATTAACGTTTAGTATTCATCAACAGCAAGTAGTGCCTGGAAACCAACTTTGAACCAGAAACAAATGGTTCTTCCCGCTTCTTTCAATATGGCCAATCCCAGACAATCCATGTCTGGAATATCTATACCTACATTTCGGGGGGGTGGTTTTGAGATGTTTGAGGAGTCAATGTAGGTATACAGAACGTTCGAAGGGTCAATAAATGTATATTCCATGCTATTGCAGTCCCCTTGATTCTTGGCATCAAAAGTGCTTGGGTTCTTCGCTTTCCAGATGATGCCAGTCGATCTGCGACTGGATGGACTCGCACTCGGTCAAGAAGAGACCCCCAAACAGGGTGAAGTGATTTGGGGTGCTGGGCAACAGGACTAAGATGTTGCTGGGGGCAACTTGATACATACGCAAGGTGAAGTAAGAAGCCAAGATCAAGTCGACATGTTTTGCACCACCCAAAGGGTTTTTATATCCCGTGTTTTCCATTCAATATCCATCCGAACTGGTTGGTTCTATAGATAGGTACTGCAGCAATACATTGCCTTCTCAATGTTTCCCTGTCGCATCATGCAGATCAGCCTGAGGTTCATGCTGCAGAGCTTCACCAGCTCTGAGGCTCACAGAGTGGAGACGCGAACCCCGTTCGACGTGATCTCCGCACGATCGGGTGAGTCGTGGGAGAGTCGTAATGGCGTCCGTGCTCCGTTCGTTGATAACAGGAGGTTGTAGCTCCTTGTTGGCTCTGTTCGTAAGGCCAGGAGCCCCTGTTTGTAGCGGTGGGTCATCACAGATCTGGGTGTCAGGCGAAGGGAAAAACCGGACGAAGTTGGTTGACCTGCCTAGAGGATGTCGGCTCGTCTGAAATCTTCAGAATCCTCGCTTGGAGTCAGAGTATTGGGAGTCCATTTTGGGTTTAATATATTGTGTTTGGGTCTATAAAGTGGGGTTCACTTTTGACCATTGCCCAAATCAATGACACATGACATGTTTAGTCATTTTTACACATTCTTGGGACATGCCTAAGGGAGGAGCCATTGTATAGACATGTATAGACCATTTTTTGAGGGTCCTCCAAGAGCATGAGTCTTTTTGAAGGTCCGCCAATTTGAAAGCCGCGAAGGTCTTACCTGGGGCGGCATACATTCGGTTCTGAAGGTACCAAGGTTTCAGACATGTCAGCAAACAGGTTGAAAGCAGAAGTGCACGCCATTCAATACTTGAAAAAGTAGCGCCATGTTCTGCCCAGTGCTCTTGGCCTGCTTGGCTTGCGTTGTTTTTCATTCCACCTGGCGCAATTGTTGAACATCACGGAAAACATCACGTTTATCCCATAAAAACTCCTTAGAATGGCGGGCATTGCTTGGATTTGCTAATTGCAGTCTATAAAATGGGGATGCGCAGCTCTACTTACGTCCTAGAATGTCCGAGACCATGTTATACAAAGCTGTAATGCCTACAGGAGATTCTAGAGATTTCTAGGGGATTTTAGCGGTATTGGGACAATCTGGGAAATATGTTTGGAAGGCTCGACATCCATGGAAATCCCATCCTATAGACCTTTGTATGCAGCCCTCATGGGGCCTATGTTACAGAAAAAGCGTTTATGGAAATTTGAGGGATCTCCACTTTATAGAGAGTTATATAGAGTCACCGTTAGATGATTTGAATTCCTTGGATCCTTTACAACATCTAGATGCTGATTAAACTGCGATAGATCATAGAATGCCATGCAAACGAGAGGCTTTTCACCAATTCAGCTTGGAAGATGTCCGGGACGCTGCAGTTCAGGATCCAGTGTCTTTCACCTCCGTCCTGTCAATACGAAAGGGTCTCCGCCGGGGTCGTAGGGCCAGTCATGAAACACACCACATGGGCCAGAGAGTGCGTCGCGCGTGGCTGTTCATGAGTTGGTCCTTGCTGGTGTCACACCAGTGGGCAAGTACAGCAAACAGCTAAAATATAAACAACAGGAAGATAAAGGTCCATAGATGCCCAACTAGGTGATCCACACACTGCACAAACGTGCCACCAGACAAAATGTCACACAAAGAGAACACATCCAAAGGAAGAAGATCCCTATTTAGCTCCAACCCCAAGCACAGAAAAACGAAAACTACATTAGAAACAGGTGCTAGGTCGACAAGTATTGGGGTTGTTGCCACCTTTGCCCTTGTTTGTACCATGGAACTTTCCTTTTCCTTTCTTTTCCTTTGCCTTTCTTGCCGCCTTTGCCCTTCTGGCATTTGCCACCGGTCTTTCCACCACCAGGGATCCAGCCGCCCTTCTTGCCTTTTCCTTTCTTTCCTCCTTTATGCTTGCTCTTGCCAACCTGGTTCACGCTGTCAACCTTCATGGGTGTCAGTCCATTGTTGTTGGAGTCGAAGGTATTCTGGACAAGCTTGAGGTACGTGCCCCTGACCAAACTCTTGAGTTCTTGTCCATTGAGATCAACTTCTCCTTCAATGTGTTGTAGTCCACCAACTCGTCCAAGGAGCTTCAAAGAAACCAACAAAGAGGTGCGATGAATTCCAAAGTTCGAAAGATATCCACCAAGATCACCCAGCATCCCTCGCTCCTTGACCAAACGTGGCAGTGCAATCTCAGCGGGATCTTGCTGGGCATCAATAACACGGCGCATATCATCCATGCCTAGCAAATCCGTCCCCAAATCAGCTGCTCGCGCATCAAATCCTTCCGGTCAGATGACATCTCAAGTGGAGAGACAGAGAAAGTAAATACATCGGTTTTACACTCTATGCACCTTGATACACCCCACTCCAACACTCGGAGAGGACAACTGCCATACCCGCCTGAATTTCCCATTTGGGTCGAAGGAAATAAGTCCTCTTAAGAATCTATGTTGGAATTCAACCTCAACCCTCGGGCCACCATTCTATTTAATATGGCTTTTGGTGGGTGATTGGGCTAGTAGGCGCCCTCTATGAAATGGATTGCCTTAGGCTTTCGCAACAAAGACAGTTATATAGAATGGGAGGGCCAGGATAGATTTTGACACCCATAAAAGTGCAAGCTGCTTTCAACAACTGTCCCCAGGCATATGATATGTTTTGCAAAATTGACATCGAGCAAAAGCCAAGGTGTGAACATTTGTACATTGAAAAAATGGGTGCCATTTTATAGAGGCTGAATGCCAAGCATGTTAACACCAATATACATCAAACATGTGTTGATTCCATTCAAGTGATGTGAAACGTGATGTTTGTCCATGCAACATCATGCGACCAGAGATGTAGGGTGACATTGCGCATGCAAGTAAACACTTTGTTATGGATTGTTATGGCGCGAGGAGCACATGGGGTGTGCCACTGCCCTTAAGGTTATACCCTGCTGCAAGTGTCGCCCATCCTCCAGGCGTATTGACATGGATTCACTCCTATAGAAATCCCACAAATGTTGGGGTCATGTCCTCTTGAGGGGACCAAAAACAGAGACACTCCATGGGACTGGAATATATGCCGCCCCAGGTCAAGCAGCCCAGAGTAAGTATTTACATATGTCAGTCTCATGGAGTGTCTGGGTTGAGGTCCCCTCCCAAAAACGCCATGGGAAGACGTCTTCCCCGTTGGCCTCCTCGTGCGCAACCTGACTAGGCTGCGCTGCAGACGGCCCGCGCGGCTGGGATCACCGCAGCGAAGAGTAGCAGGCCGGGCGGTGAAAGGGCGGTGAAAGTGGTGAAGGTAGGGATGAAAATGACAGGAATGAACACTCGAAACATTTCAAAACCAAGGGATATGTTAGATATGTTAGATAGGTGCTCTTCAAAGTGACTGGATGGAAGGTGACACATTGCATACAATCCAGGGGAATCATTCATAATTACCTGTTCATTCTTTCACTTGAGTGACATGCCCTTCAAAAAGGAAGAAGTATTTTTTTCTCAGGGTCATGCAGCCTTCAAAGGATGGCCGTACTCCATTCCTTTCTCGTCATGGACATCTCCAACAAAGATCCGCGGCTTCCCTGAGCATCCCAAATCCCGACGTGGAAATCGTATCAATGGTTTTTGTTTCATGACTTTGATTGAACCCTAGCCCTAGTCCCAACCAGAAAACATGTTGCTCCAAGCTGAATTGGCGGCGGAGTTGGACCCGCAAATTGTTGTCATTTTGCTTCTCCGGTTGGCTCTTCAATTTAAAGCCAATTCCTGGGCGCTCTCGGGATGACACTGCAATGTGGTTATTTTATAATTTCACCGAGCGAGGCCATGCATCGTTCTTCCGCCCTCCCCATACCTGTGAAGCGGTTGTCGCTGACTTATAGGATATGGGATTGGAAAGCACATTTCCCAAGTCAATATAGTAGCTTCAAGTGAAATGGCTGCTTCTCCTGCCAAGTAGGAGGCTCTTATTGGGGTGCACACTTCTCTTTTGGAAGAAACTTCTCCTGGGAGCCTTATTAGCTAAACCTTCACTCAGAATATGCTTGAAGCTTGTGCACTCACGCCCTTCTGACAAGCTGTAGGTTTATACAAGCACTGGCTGCCTATTTAGGTCACAATTCTGCAGCTTTGCGCATGTGGCGGCACATGAAGGCCTAGTGCAACTACACCTAGTTGCTGTGCTCTTTGTGCGCTAGAGTCTTTCCAACGCTGCGAGTGATCGAGCGGAGCAATTTAGGCGAGCGCTGAAAGGGTCCACGGCAAGTGCACACTTTTCTTACTAGAGCTGGTTGGTCACCAATAAATCAATAGGTCCACTTGGGCTTGCTCTTATTGTTGCAAAGGCGCCACAAAAGAACATCGATCAAGCCACCCCAAGATAGCGACGCGAAGACCGCTAGGTGCGAGCTAGGGCGTTCATTTAACATGCTGTTGATGAAACGGGTGTTTGCATGTATTTCTGGCAGTTTTTGCTTCGTTCAGCTTCATTGGACGTGCTTCGATATCCGTGTGGGTGCGTCGCTCGACCACAAGACCTGGTCAAAGTAGCTCAGCCTGTGGTGCTGGTAGAGAACACCAGCCTAATCCCACTACGACAGTCCAGACTCCAGACTTCTATTGTAACGACTTGTCCCTAGAGCACGGGGCTAGGCTTCCAACACATTGATTTCATACCCTGAATCCCGAAAAACCATTTCCTAAGGTTTTTACATCATTTTTCACACCAACACCTATATAATATATATAGGTCCATGTGAATAAATGGCACAAGGGCAGGCGAATTCGGTGTACCGGGGCTCCGGTTCAGTTCGTTTGGCCCTCCACGCCCCGCGCTCCAAAGAACAAAGCAAAACATGTCCCACGATTTGTTCTGCACTTGAAATCTGCGTGAAAACCCACAGAGAAACTTTGGAAGGATAAAACTCGGGAATGAACATCGTTAGTCCCTTCCCAAGCGACAGGAACGGCGTTTGGACCCAACCCCGGTGGCGATGTCTTGCAGTTTCGACTTCTCCATTGAAAAGTCTGGGGAGTCCTATCGCTTGGCCTTCAGCGTTTGGGGGTTCCACCCTCAGCAATCAACGAATCATTGCGAGTGTTGCTTCGATCGGCTTCTGGTTTGGAGCGGATCTGTCGTCAGACATGAACACAGCTCGGGATGTGCCTCCCTACCCCCGCAAATCGGTGTTCTTTCTGACTTGGCCTACACCCTCAGGTGTTGTGTGATGCTTTGTGGGGTCATAACTGGTGGACTGTGCGAAAAGGTATATGCTTTTTATGGACGCTTAGTCCTTTTGTTTTAGAAGGGACTTCATACTAAGCCACTAAAGGTATCTAAAGGTTAAAGCGTTGAAAACCACTCAAGTCTAAGGGCAAAGCTAAAGTCTAAGGAGTGACACGGACCGCCTTTCGATCAAGCCTGCACCGAGGCCGACCTCGGCCGAGGAGTTGACCGGGCAGGTGGAGATCTTCCGCGACGAACGTGCGGGCCCAAAGCACAAAGGGGAAAACCAAGCCGTTTGGTTGATATGGGTGTGCATAGGTGGTGCGCATATATTAAGATAGTGTGTACAGGAAGGTCAGGTTTTTCGGTGGTGACAGGGTTCGATAAACTGTTTGGAAGCTGAATGGCCTGGAGTGGACCCCTTTGGAAACAACGTCCAGGTCGATCGAGTGGTCCCCAAATAGCTAGCAAAGTAGATCCCCAGTAATTAAGAATGTATTGGAAAGCATGCCACCAACCATTTGGGGACTATATTACAATATATATATACACTGTATATACACTGCATCATATTTGACGCAAGGTCGGTCCTAGTCTGGCACTTCACTCCAGCCGAGCACCGTGATCCTTTTGTGTGGGCCCACCCAGTCGACCCACACCCAAACACTCCAAAGTACACTCCGTGCCTTTAAAAAAACCTAAGACTAAGAATCCTTGCGCCCTCTATGACAGGGGTCCGGACCTGAACCAAATGCAGGGGCCCGGACCGGAACCAAACCCTATGTAATTGAGGGCCCGGGTTCATAGGGAAGTCATAAATGACGGACGAACACAGATCGTAGCAGACCGACGCACCTGGTCACAGCAGAAGTGGTCGTTGGCCAGGCCAAATTGGGGGCTTTGAACCCCGCCCATCTGGGTTCAGATGTTAGAACCAGTTTGACCTTCAATCTATAATGTACTTGACACGTTGTTTTTTGGTTGAACAATATTGATCCACTGCTGGGCGGTTGTACGCCCTGTATTTGCTGCTGAAACATGATGGAGTTACCAACCGCCTAACCGCACAGTCAAAACAAGTCGTAAGAAGCTTTTAGGCAAAAGGACGTCGTTCATAGATCAAAAGGAGATCGTGTGGCTGCGGCAATGACTCAAGCACCTGATGCAACCCCATCACCATTTGCCTCGACACTTGCATTGAAGAATATTCGTAGAGAGAGAGAGAGAGCGCGCGAGATAGAGAGAGTAGATCAAAAGCATCCCAAAGACCCATATAGGTGGTCCTTTACTGTTGGGGACATAGCGGCTGGACAAACCCCCTCTATTCTCGTTCTGGCGGACATTATTACTTTATTGGTTGGGGCAGACCCATTTCTTGACACTGCGCCGCCATGGAAGAGCTTTGGCTTTGCATCCTTCGTTTCAGTGATGCGATGTCCGCAGCGGCTTGCTCTAGCCCTTTGCTGGTGCCGTGGAAGTTACAGCTGTGGAAGGCAGGACATGTTTGAGGACCCTTTTGTGGTGAGCTAGCATTCTGGCCTTGTTTGGCCAGTGAAATGCTTACGGAGCTAGCATTGGATGAAGCAATCTTCATTTCTTGCTGTTGAGCCAGGACGACAACCTTTGCTAGTGGGCAGAACATGTCAAATGGAAGTGGACATGTCCGCTAGGAAGACTGTTGTATTGTTTCCACATCCATGGGACGTCTGTTGGAGTATAGTATAGCTGTCGATGTTGTTCGGTCACAATATGGTGAAGTTCAACGCAGTATACTGTCAATCCTTGGCGGAGCAAAGAGAACCTGACAAATGAGCCATCTCCATCTTCGTCCAAGCCTACCTCCATGGGACATGGTGGCCTTCCTGAGTCATGCCAAGCTCGGGAGGGGCATCGCGTTCTTTTTGGCTTCAGTTGGTTTCTACCGGGTTTGGCTCTCCACTCAGTCTTTCAACCTGACACACTCTCTCTCTCTCTCCACTCGAACTCCAGAAACACAGACCTCTGGTCCACCTGAGGCGCGAGTGTGCGCCATTCGCCGGCTCGAAGCGGTCGGAGCCTTAGGTTGGCGTGTGTTTCACCTCGGCCGTTGGAGCCCGTCCGTGACATGGCCTGGCCTTTCTTGGGCGGTCGAGCGTGACGAGGTTGACTGTCACTGTGTGGGCGGATGTCCATTCACTTTGTAGCCATTAAATGGTTGCTCCAACCAGTTGATCTCTATCGTCCGAGTGGATTTGAAAGACCAGACATGCCGTTTAGAGTCAGTCAGTCAGTCAGTCAGTGCCTCATTTAACACGCATTTTTCAGTTTATTTAGTCGCTGTGGTGATGTTTAATGTCCACTTGACATGTCTAATTCATACTAATTCTAAGTTTCTTCTTTTCCACTGCCGAGTCCTGCCACGGGGTACCTGCTGAGCTTCAGACAACATTGCAGGTGGAAGAGGTGCAGTTGCGGCGAGGGGAAGGGGCACCGTTTGATCGCCTGGTGTTCCGTGTTTTCCACCCATCCTACTCCCGTAGAAATCGGTGGGACACCCATCGGAGTGGTTTTCCGTTTCAGAACATCTATCACCAGTGGCCCAACGAAGATTTCACCAGAACGCCCAGGATCGCTGTACCCACCTTCCCTTCGCAAGTCTAGGTCGAGGCCCAGTTGAGATCAGGCCCTCCCATAAACTGATGCTGGGAACTGGACATCTTGAAGGTGGAAAATCTGGGAAGTACGATCGCCATCGCTATCCATCACTTTGCTCTACAAACTAGGGATTAAGGGATATTAAGGGTTTTTCATATCTTGTTTCATGTGTGTGCCACTTCCATCGGACGTGAGCCAGAGTCTTTTCTTCCCCGAAAAGGGTTTTGCAGGTCCAGGCCCCGTGGAGGCTGAGGATCCTTCAGGTCGGGGCCCCCAAGAGGTGGTTCATGGACACCCCTAGACCGCACTATATTCATGGACACCGTTTAGGTCGTGTTGGCGTTATACGATAGTTTGTGTTCTTCAGCCCAGACCTTTGAATGACGATGGTGACTGCTGCAAGCCCCAGCGGAAGCCTCTACGGTCTACTGTCTACTGACTGAGTAGTTCGGCTTTGCAAAGACCGGAGCTCCGGAAGGCTGAAGTGATGTCCTCCGAGAGATCCGCGGTTCAGGATAAAGGCTTGTGTAGGTGTGCTAGCGTAGCTGCACACTCCGCCAAGCGAATGCCTCTTCCCCAACTGGTAAAGGATCATATGATCTCAAACCAAAGGAACTGGTTGACTGAACACCTCACCGGGAAAAGCACCTCCAACACGGCCAACCTCCTCCGCACCGGAGCCAACCTCTTCGGGTGCCCACCGAGGCGCTGGGCAGGCTGCAGAGGGCCGAAGAACTGGTGAGACGCTTGGAGTGAGATGCTAAAAAACTCCATCCATCCCCAATAGATCCGTTTCCTATATAACCCATCACCAGGTGCACCATGATTTGGTCTATGATTCATCAAAAGGTGTGTGGATGAAGACACCGGGAGACACCCGAGATCTCGCCCATACTGTACCGTTGGGTCGGGTGCGTTCCGGTCTTCCGCAAGCGTCTCCCACCGGTCTTCTGGCGGGCTTGGAAGGCGGTGGAGCACGCGAGAAGTGGTGTTTTTGTTGAGCCCCCCCGTAGATGCCCCCAAAACCTTGGACCACCACATGACCATGATCATATTTGGGCCAGGGGACGGTGCTCCCAACCGGACCGGTCGCGAGAAGTGGTCACACAGCTCGCATGACAAAGAGCAAGATTTGACAGTTGAACATTTCGAGGAAGCAAGTGTGTGCAAACAGCTTACAAAGCTCGACAAAAAGTTGACTCAAACCTCTCGGTTGCTGCGCTACATTGCGCTGTACTGCGTGCTATGCACTGCCTGGCATGTCCTCCCACTGCCTTCAAAAACTAAGCTCTTCTTGAGCTAGCTGTGGGTGAAACCAGGGTTGACGCATGTGGAAGCTCAAAGTACACAGGAGATTGAATGAATGTGACATATATAATTTGACCCATCCCCAGCTATAAGAGCTACTGCCCTAATCAAAGTGGAGTCTCCTGTTCAAAGACCAGCCATAGGAGTGTTTGAACTGTTGCAATTTGCTGTACTCTTCTGTCTTGGCCAGATTAAACTTTAGACGGGTCAGCAAGCCTGACACTGTTGTCAAACCTACATCATTGGCAGGGATCAGAACCGGCCTGAACCGCATACATAGAGCGGTCGTCGTTGGGAAAGATGTCCCACACAACCTGGATTGCCGGCGTGGCCACATGCCTGATGAGCAAATTGTTGAACTGGCCACTGCATCGGGAAGACTGATCAACTATAGGGAAGTGGAACGTATCCACCATTGGTTGGAATATGAATGTTGCTTCTCACCTTTGCATGTGATCCTCAGTCCCGAATTTCCGCGAATGTTTTGTGAGGGCTAAGTGCCACCATTGGGACCTATCAAGTATTTCTTTGACCCCTGTCCTAAATCCCCTGCTGTCAACCATGAAGTTCTACCACCATCAAAACCAACGGACACAACCAACGCCCTTCCCGCTCAGGTCCCGGGCGTCCCCCTCCGACACCGTCAGCTCCGAACCGCCCCGAGGAGAACTGCCCTCCTTTCAAGCTCTCACCTCGAGAGAGCGGAAGGTGGAGCCCGGGAAGGAGCCGAATTCAAACACCGAAATCCGGCGTGGTCTCTCTCTGTGTGCCTTTGAACCGAATCAAAACCAAACGGCTGAGAAGTCCACGTCGTTTTTGGAAGCCAGGACCCACGCGGCTCACCCCAGGGTCTCTTGCTGCTGGCGCTGTTGCGCGCCGAAGCTGTTCGGGCAGAGCTGTCAGAGGCCTTCACAGGTGGTGGAAGAAACAGCTGTAGAATTGGACACATCCTGTAGTAGACAACTGAATCTGAACCAATCCCAAAAGAGGAGCAGTTTCCTTGGATTTCAGCTTTTCAGTCTAGTCCAGGATGACAAGATGTAGAATGTAGAATTCAGATTCACTCAAAGACCCGATTTATATAAGGTCCTGAGATGTCCTGAGAATGGTCCTTGCCTCATGTTCTGAACACTCCCATCGGCCGGCAGACGCTAAAGACCTTGAAGATGAGAGGGCTGATGGCCCAATGGGAAGCCTTTGTCGATCAGCTGCTCGTCCCAGTGACAGTGAGAAGCTCCGATTCATGTAAAACAGATTTGGGCTGCCGTGGTGACTTTTCAGGGTCTGAAGCCGTTTTGATGTTGTTGTCTTTTAAGCCTCATCATGGCGTGCTCCCTGGTCTTCCTATTTTTCCAAGCTCAGGTATGGCAACAACGGCTTGTACCAGGGCCACCACAGGATTTGCACCTGATGTCCACGTGATGAGCACGCAAAAAAGGGCATTTCTCGGCTGCGTCAGATAGGCTGAACACAGACTCATTGTGCGCTCTGAGAGTGCTTGAAGCCCTTTTGATCCGAATCTTGAAATTCAACCAACCCCTGTTTAACCATGTCAAACCCCCCACAGGTGAAAACACTCTGCCAAGATCTTTAAGGGCCCTGAAATGTTCTTGCAATATCCTCTACTGTCAGCCTATGAAGATCACTAAATTTGTTGGATAGAACCCTCTTCGAGTCAAACTTTGAGCAGAGATCAAAATAACATCAATAATCAACGATAATCGAAGTGTACTTTTCGGAGTTCCATGTCAGGCGCTGATTGGAGTTTATTACTTCTTCCCATGGTCCACTCTGGATGGCAAAAACGGTGGAACTTTGAAACATTAAACATGTTAAACACAAGACACAAAAATACATTGAAGCTGTATTTCATGAAGCAACAACAATCAATCAATGATGTTGCTCCTCAGGTGGTCATGTTTTATCTGGTTGTCTCATCCCATAGGTGATGGGCCAAGCGCAGCGAGCGCAGCGAGCGCAGGCGCAATGGGAGGTTGTTTCACGTTCGGAACGACCGGCATTGATGCAGGTGAGAAAAACGATGTTCGACTGATGAGGACATTCCAGGATTAGACTGATGTTCATACTACCAGTCCCAGACCATCCATGGGACAGTTGCACGCATTTGCCTTGTGACTCATGACCTTCTGATGACTAACTGTTCCAGTCCCAAGGATGGTCTGGGAGTTTTTAGATGCATTCTTTCAGTTGTTAACCCATGCGTGGAAAAAGAACATGCTCTTTTTTGGGGGGTTGGCAAAGACTGGCATTTCAAGGTTTGCCTGTGGGTGGTCCTCCCCTTTAGGCTGGTGACACCACCACTCGAGGCAATCTGCTGCGACATGTTGAGACCTGTTTCTGTTTGGGGGTAAAACTCCCCGGTTTACAAGCAAGAGGGTTGGAAGAATCATTGAAAAATCAGAGCTGTCATCCATGGCTATGTTTTCATATTTGATCATCTATCAGGAGGATGGTTGTTCCATCTTTTTCCACTAGACAATGCTAGCACGGGGGTTGACCGAAGAGGGGTCCTGAGCAAATGTCACTGAAATGGAAGAGTTAGACTGATAGACATGCAAAAAGAACCTATCCTATGTATCATCATCTGTGGGCAGATCACTTTTGGGACAACTTCTGTTGAGCTTCAGGCAGGTCCAAGTTCTAAAAAGACGACTTGACTGGGCTTCTTGGTTGAAGTCTTCACTTCTTGGTTGAGGACTGCGACTGGGCCTGGAAAAGTTCACTCGACTGGGCTTCAAGTGGATGGTTTGTAGCCTTCGAAGCGTTCACCTCTTGAGGATATCGCCTGCAGCTCTTTGCCACCAAAGGCCGCGAGTGGCGACGGGACGCGCGACGGGAGAAGAGGATGTGGGAGGAGGGGACGACCTGAGAAAGAATTCCAGACATCCAAGGGAGGTCCGAACATAGCTGGCTATATATACATATATTAATTATTACTGTATATATATATATATATACTCTGTGGATTCAGGAGGGTTGAGCCTAACGATACAAGTCAAAGCGTGGAAAACGAAGGTCTATGGGAGCCGGGAGTTTAGTTGATCAACTGACACTGACCGGCTGCCACGAGAACCCAGATGACGGGAGACGATATACGTCTTGGATGCCCTCCTTGCGTTGCAATCCGCGTTGAAACCGTGCAAGCCAGCAAAGCAGGTGGTGCAAAAGCAAACCGGACGAGATGGTTAAAGATCCCAGATGCTCTCCCTAATCATTCTTTCCCGAAACTCTTGCAATCGTGAGGAAGCCAGGAAGGACTTGGAAGGTATGGCTTCAAAAGCTAGATGGATTCGTTCCGGGTAGGGTTCTGGAATCGCTAGATGTGAAGATGAACTGCAAGGCACCCGCACCCACCCCGCCCGGCCCAGAGTCCGACCTACGGAGTCGACTGGATGCCATCCCTCGTAGCAGAGATCTGACCTTGTTCAAGCGTTCTGCATGCTTTCTACGGGGAGACAGGTGGATTCCACTTCCATGTTAAGTCACAGAGTACTGAGTTGCGCGCACTGTATCCCAATGGCAAGGGGTTCTGTTATGTTGATTGCTTGAAGATTCAAACAGATGGAAGGTTTGACAAAGCTACTTGGAGGTTTTGGAGAGACCACTCGGACTCGACTCCTCCAGTCATGTAAACCTCTGCGATGCGCACGAATCAACAGGGGACTCGGTCGATCTTGGGAGAGGTTCGGGTACACATTTGATTTGAAACATGGCTCAAGGGCTCACCCAAGTTCATGAGGAACTGTGGTGGTCCGAAGATGAGAGACATACAGTTCACGTGGTGGGCTCTCAGAAAGCACGGCTCCAGTTCACATGGTGGGCTCTCAGAGAACTCCCTGCCCTATACTTGTCGGAGGTACTCAAAACCTACCAACTCTCACAAAGCCAACAAATGCATACAGTTGCAAAAGAAACTACATGTTTCTTCGTTTTCTCTGAGTCTTCAGGTCTGACCTTCTCAGCTCAAGTAAGTATGTTCAAGCCCAGTGTCAACGTGTGTCAACGTAGGATTCATTCTTCCGCCATTACCGGCTTCTTTGCTCGTGGAACAGTTCGCGTTGCGCGTAACTCGCCAGCGGTCTCACCGGGGTCATGGCTGGGGTGTCAAGGACAAGCACTCACTCTTTAGGGGTCCTGGAAATGATCAAACAACAAGTTACCTGAGGTTGCCCCTCCTTCCTTGATCTCGCCATGGCGCCCAAGAAGGGCCGCTCAGTGCAACTGGCCATGGAGGAAGCCACGAGCGAAGTTCCTGGCCGAAGAACGGTGGGTGGGGGTGAAGTGGGCTGCAGCGACGGCTCAGGTCCTCAGGTCGCTGGGGAGTTCCCCTGTCCCCCTGTCCACCAGCGCCCATGGGGAAAGCACGATGGGAGTGGTTTAGTCCCATCTGCTGCCTCAGTGGAGACTTGCACCCCCACCCTCCAATAGGCACCCCTTTGAACTGCTGCCCTATGGATCCACATACCGAACCTGAGAAGGTGATTGGAGACTGCTTGACTACTTATGTAGGCTTGGAGGATCCAATTCCATAGCTTCTGAGAAGGTATGTGAATCCAGAGGTCTGGTCTATGACTTTGTTGCCCAAAATGCTCGTGTGTGAGCTCACAAGCCTATCGATGTTTCGTGAAAGATATGACCTTTGTGGTCGACTGCTCGACGATCAGGGAAGACCGCCGTCCTTTCTCCGATGTCCTTTCTCCGCTTCTCTGAGGAGGTCCGTCGGGCAGACAGCCAGGAGCCCTTGAGGGACGCCACGAGCAGTGGCGCCGGCGCCTCACCAGTGGACATGGCTGTGATTTGGGTGAAGAAGGCGGCCAAGGGCAGTACGCAGTGGACGGATATCGGCACAAAGCGACAGCTGTCCCACTATAAGTTCCGGAAGAGGCTGAAGCCCCTCACGGTGCTGATCAAGTTTCTCTACTTGGGCTTAGCCTTTGTAGAGGTGCCTTCCTGGTGCCTGGTGAAGGACTATTGTCTTGAGAAGGATGGGATTTACAGCTGGAAGATCCTTCAGTTGCCTTTCCAAGTCTCCAACGGGATCGATGCTCGTCCCAAACGTAGCTTTTCGACGACTGACTGGCTTCTAGGTTCAAATCAGGTTAGTCATGAGAAAACTTGTAGTATACTGTTTATGATTTGTCCAAGAGATTCCAATATATAGTGCAAAGTGAGGATATCTTCTGCTTGCTTTATCTCGCGCACCACTTTGGGAACCGACATCGTTCATTGGGTTTTGCCTCGAAGACGAAGTGTTGGCACCTGGCGCGCTGCTTCTTGGTGGTCTTGGCGCTGGTTGACTGTGCCGTAGCGATCTTCAACCGGGTCGGAATAGTTCCAGGCTGGGACAGACGCAGATGCGAAGGGAAGATAAGGGAGCCCACACATGAAGCCACCCAAACTAGCCAGCAGAAGGGAACAAAAGCAAAGAATCTATATATTGGTATCAATTCCCAGACCATCCATAATTTATCAGAATTTATCCCATGTGTGACCCTGGGATTGGTTGAGTTGAGTCTTATTTCCTTTGCATGAGACGAAGCTGGACTTCTGTAACGGTGCTTTTTCGTAGCAGGTCACCGGCTTGGTCCAAAACATGTAAAATCATGTAAACAAGGACTCAAAGGGAGGCATACTCCCAAAGGGACCCCTAACAACTTTCCCAGAAATACGAAGGCAAGAGTCGTGGGTTTCTCTTGGCTGATTTGAAGCCAGTCACAATCTTTTTGGGGGGTGATGAAGCTTCCATCAGCCCCATCACTGTGGCATCCATAATTTCTGGCGAACCTTCCCTCACAGCAGCTTCTGTGCCCCTACGCCGCTGGCCGTTCGATTCCCCTATATAGACCCTTTTCGTCTGACGGAAAGACGACTGGTCCGAGGTGGGCCAGAGTGAGCCTGGTTGTGAAAGGCTATATTTAGCCAGGGTTTGTCCATGTGTGTCCATTGGTCACTATTCAGGGAAAAAGGGCGGGACAATTCGCTCAGACCGCGCAGCCGAGCGGGGTCGGCGCCTCAGGAGCCTTCCGGGTGTGCCGCGTGTGTCGGCCGTTGATTCTCATGTGCGCCACGAAGTTCCTGCGACGGACGCTCAACCGCTTGTGGTTGGCATTCGTGGACTTCTGGACGGCACCTTGTCACCAAGGGCATCGCGGTTCGGAGCATTTCGGAACGATCGGATGCGAAAGAAGCAAGTAGCTCCTGGCATTACTACTAGTAAGGAGCTACTACTGGCGATGGATCGAGATAAATGAGTATGGAAAATCATGTAGACTCTTGATTCATACACCCTCCCCATTTGGATTGAACAATATATGGGCTCTTAATGACATCAAGAGTCAATCGGTTGAGTCGACCGAACTCAGCTGTTCGTTGCCTCAGTTGAACTACACACCGTCCCGTGGAAATGCACAGGCAACACACAGACCTGGATGACCTGCATCGAAAAGTCATTGCCAGTCTCTGCGATTGCTGAGTGGATGCCCTATGGAACCACATACCTTCTCAGAATTGGACCCTCTAAGCCTACATATATATGATATATACTTATATATATATAGTGTATAAATAGTCTCCTAATCTCTTTCTCAGGTTCGGTATGTGGATCCCATAGGGATGGACATGTTGTTCCGCTTCCATCTTCAACCGAAAACAAACCCCTCGCGTTGCTTCTTTGCGCTGCCAGAGTCGCTCAGGTCCTAGCTTCCTTGGCTTTGTGCGTGATCTTCTTCGTTTGGCTGGGTATCGTGATCTTCGCACGGACCAAGGATCATGTCTTTGGAGCCCTTCCCCTCACTTGTTGTACTGGTTGTATGTGTTTGTTGAGTTATATTAATGTAACATATTGCTCTAATATACGACTTGACCTACGTGCTTCTGGTCTTCGTTCCGCTTGCTCCGCTGGAGGAGGGTGAGAATCACTTCGACGAGTGGTCGCAGTCGGCGGCCTCGTTGTGGATCCTCTTCACCACGGCCAACTTCCCCGAGTCCTGAGCTGGACGGGAAAGGAGTGTGGAGGTGGTGAGTCTTAGTCGATTCTATTTCGAGTGGTGCTGTGAAAGAAGAGGTCCCACCAGTGTCCACTGCCAAGAAAAATAACAAGAGAGAGAGAGAGGTATAGGAGATAGAAATAAGATAAAATAAGAATCAAGTGTTCCACCAAAAGCTTACAGTTGTGATGGGCTGGTCATTAAGAGTTTGGGCATCCAAGATCACGGGTCTTTCCTGGTCGGTACGGCGTAGTGCTTAGACTTGCCTTGCCGTCTTTGCGTGCAAGTCGGGTGAGCCAGCCATGGTTCTTCTCGAACACAACGGTGATGGTTCGCGGGGTGTTTGGTTAATGAGACATCATTTGCTGCCTCGCTGCACAACAGAATGCTTCCATTGGTTGCCTAGTGAAGCCTAGTGTATTTAGTCAACAGCACAAATTCAAAGGCGCAAACCATCACTGAATCCGGACCTGCATTGGAGTGACTGAAACGCTGAAACGCTCCTCGTGACTCATGACTTCATGAGCGTTAAGGGACGACATGTTCCTTTTCGTTCAAGAAGAGGGAAGGTAAGACCCTACAGCTACAGGTCCAGTCTGGCACAGGTGTTGTTAGATGACTAACTTCAGTAAAACGATATTAAAATTAGGTCAGTTCCTGACCAGGATCAATCATTACCGGTGCTCGAAACCTCGCCTGGCACTGCACTGTGTTGAGGATGTGATGGTGGATTCCTACACCAACGTCCGCATGTCCTTCTTCTTTTTCTTCTTCTATTTGGTGGCCCAGAAGCACAAGTGTGTTAGTTACCTTTGGATGAACATACCACAACCTCTTTGTTTGCAATACAGATCCGATGATATAACGTGACATTGCAGACCTCCTAAATGAACAGCCGCACCGAGTGCGTTTTGTAATCGAGGGAAAAGAACGCAGCAGTTCTGAAGCGGTCCACTTTGCAGCAGTTCTGAAGCGTTTGCCTTTGTTTGGAACTCGAGCAAGTTCAATCATCAGCCAGGCAGTTTTTTCCCGGCGAACCCTTCCAGGTCATCTCGCTTTATTTGTTGAACAATATCTTGCTGGCGGCGGTATACGATGCCTACAAAGATCAGCTTCGGAACTCCGGGCTTAATGAAAGGAAACATTGATAGACATATATAGAAATCGTATTTCTGATTTGTTTTCTGCTGTAAGTAGAAGTTTGGGGCAGTCTACCAGCCAGCATTCAGTGACCAATGATGATCTGTAAAGATCTGTCAATGGGCCATTGTCGGGTTTACCCGGTGCTGTGGTGGCTTCCAAGGAACCAACTCCAGACCTTCTACCGCAAGCAGAGCTACTCCATTGACCGGGCCTTCCAACTCCTCGCTGACCATTCAGCACCACCGGGCCTCAACACGCGCCACGCCCGCGCGGGCCCGAACGAGCTGGCAGAACGTGATCCAGAGCTGGTAGGATCCGAAGAACAGGATCGAGAAGCAGGTGCAGCGGGAAGAAGAGAGTCTGACCCGGAACCAAGAACGACTGGTTGGCAAAGAACTGGATGACCAGCTCCACCCAGAACTGGATGGTTATGGGATGTTGAACACCTGCGTTGTCCATCAACAACGCTTTGGGTGGTAATGCGACAGGTTCTTTTACCCTATAGTACTAGTCCAAGCACCATTGATTGCACGTATAGAATATATCAATTAATAATATCTAATAGCCTTTACTGAACAATCTTAGAGTTGTCGTGGACATAGTTGGACGATGTTGGACGTATGAGACGGACAAACGCGAGCACCTTTGGTGGAATGCGTTGTTGGTATATTTCCGTCGTGCTGCTTTTGAGCTGGAACAAGCATCAATTCTAAAGAGCTGCCTTTTGACACATCACCAGGCAAACATGAACATGTGACACAGGCAGAGAGATTTGACTGGAATACGGAGGAACCTCAAGCGACCGAATGCCAGGAAGCCGGAAAACTGTCCTGTGAACAGTAAAGGAGGATGGATCCCAGACCTGTATGGAATGGTTACCTACATTGGGGTCATAAATGCGGTAAATGGATGTAACTATTCCAGTCCCATGGATGGTCTGGCGGGCCCCATTCGGTCCCATGATGCTCTCGGAGAGTGCGAGAGTGCTCGATCGACGGCGCGGATCGACAGGCATTAGCCTTGAGAAATGGATGGATTTTTTCACCACTTACTGTGCCCTGGCCTGTTCAAGTTGCTTTCTTTTGTGAGTTGACTTGTTGAAAGCCCTGTTTCGTGTCCCCCAGGTGGTATCCTTAAAGATGTAAAGATGTGTAGGTCATCGTTTAAAACACATAATATATATATATATATATAAATATATGTCCTTTTGCTTTCTTTTTGGGTGGCCTGCTGTACTCTTTTGGGTCCTTGTGGTGTTTTCCAGGCCTTTTGAAATGAAAGACTTCCTGATTCCAAGCAAGGTGTTGCCGCGACTTGCATTGGCAGCAAGAGAGATCATAGCTTTGTTCAGCAGCAGGCACTGCAAACCTTCCAAGCACTGGACAGTGACGGCAGCAGCTGTATCACCAAAGATGAGTTCAAACTGGTTGCCCCTCGAAGTGGTCTGCACAGGACGTGGGGGCGTGGGTCATGTCCAATCCATGGATTCCTCAATAAACGAGGTTGTTGCTCACACAGAGTGATCAGAATACGAGAATCTCTTCCTTTGAAAAGGGCGGAGGACATAGATAGACAAAGTTTTGTGGAGTAGATAGAATGTGCAACATGTCATTGAATACTTTCTGCTGCGTTTCTTTTTGCCCTCCTATTCATCCGTGGAATAGAAACAAACCACGACATCCGTTCCAATTATTTCCGGTATCATTGGCTTGCAGAGACCACAGAGCTCGACTCGTGTTGTTGAAGAGACTTATAGTGGATTGAGACTAGATGGCACAGACCCCAATGTCGGTGGTTAGTGAACGGCCATCTGTCTAGGACCCCCGGCATGCCATGGCATGCCAGTGCCATCGAGCCGAGTTTCGGCCCGCGACCGTTCCAAGGTCCATGTGCTGTCCGATCCCCAGTGCCTCGGACGGGTCGCGGTTTGGGAGCCAAAAGAGATACAGTTAGCATGTTGTGGCATCAAAAACAATATGAACGTCATCAGTCAAAGCCATTGAACGCAACAAAACTCATTGGATGTCCGAATGGAGCAGCTAGCTGGAGATGTGAGATGCTTGTTCATGCTCAGGTTTCGGGAAGAAGCACCCGGGAAGAAGCTGACAAGCTCTTCCTCCATATGTAGTTATGTAGAGTCTAAGACACACTCAGCAGGACTTGGAAGCACAGGAAAACAACCTATATATATACATATGAATAGCTGGTCTGACTTGTCGTCAGGGTTAGTTTCTGCATATCCAAAACCATATCGAACGGATACATTGTGTGATACGGCTTTCGATACATCTCGCTACACCTGCCGTGGCTGACGAACAACGAAAGGCCCAAGTGTAAATGATATAAGCATGGTCAGATGTTCAATTGGCTGGAGGAGAGGTAAAGTCTACAAGTGTTTATACAAAGTCACTTTTCAGAGCTCTCATGGGACAAAAGGCAGATTTGGAATAGGAGAGGCTCTAGAAGAATTGTTTGAGCGTGTCCAAGGTTCAGGTGGAGTCATGACATGTCACGACGTGTTTCAAGCATATTCAAGGCAACCTGAGGTTCTATCACGTGCACAGGTGCCTGAAATCTTGGGAGCATGGGGGGAAGAGACACCCAAATGCAAAGCTTGTGGTGTCAACTGGCATGGAAATAACTCTATTTTGCCACGCGGCTTGCCACGCCCAGAATCTATATTCCTTTGCGGCCCCTGCCGGAAGCGTCGAGTACAACCTGGGGCCGCCGCTTGCGCTTCCTTTTCCAAAAAGGCATTGCGTGGCGGCACCGTCGCCTGCCCTGGTGGATGGTGGTGGACTTTGTAGTGTTTCTGGAGACTCGGCGTGAAACGAGCGTTTTCGTACTGAGAGGTGGAGTGGCTGATAGGGCAACCAAAAGCATGAGTCATGAGTGCAAAACTGTGAAGAATTGAAGGAGCCATCCATCCATCCATCCATCCATCCATCCATCCATCCACCATTGGAATCGGAACCTGAGCATTGAAGCCACCTGGCCATGATGTTTTTCGGTATGCCGAGCATCGACTGACTGCCACGAAGTTGAGATCAGAATGGTGGACAAAAGTCGATGGCAGATCAAGTGATTTCTCCCAACCATGTGGCAGTGGCAGGGGTCTTGGTACTTCCCTGAAGAGGGAGTTTTCTACATCACCATTTGGTGGATTCCAAGAGTGATCATGCAAACCAGAAGAAGATTTCTTACACCTCCTTTACGGCCCCCGGGGGCCGTGCGATAATCGCTCAAACCTTGCTCCGTGATGCTCCGCTCCGTGCATTTGGATGTGAGGAGATTGCTTTGGCTTTTGGGCAGACGTGTATTTTTGTCTCCCCGGTGGGTGGGAAATTCAACGATCAGCCGTTGGCGCCACGGAGCATTTGGTTTCGACTGCTGTCCCTGACCACGGGCTTTGTCTTTGTGACTTGGCTACGACTGAAATACAGTGAAGAAACCTGCGCGGATGAAACTACAAAAGTATACAGTCACCAGGAAAGACTAGAGACCAAAAAATACATAAACAACATCCCCTTCATCAAGCTGATTTCACCAGGTGAACATGATCTTGCAAATCGTGACCTTTGGCTTGGACCGCTTTTGGAATAGACGCCGTTTGCGGCATCGATTTGATCTCCTGAGCATTTCGGCACTCTGTGGCTTGGAGATCGCCAGCTGTTGCTTCTCTTCTCCTCCAGATTCTCTGCTCCACCGGTTGATGGTGGATCAAGTGGTTTCTATTTTTCCACATGGAACGGATTTTGCATGGGGAACGGATGTTGTTTGTTTTTTATCCTGTTCCTGAAGCGAACAGTGGCGTCACACACTGCTCACCCGATCCCCATCTGTGAAGAAGCCGCCAGTGATTTGCCACATGCTATGTCGTTTGCTTTAAAAAGCGTGGAAGTAGCCGGGCAGCCTCTCATGTTTGCAAACGGTTCATTTCTCAGATTGTCTATAGATTGTTTGCTTTCCCAGTCACTTGGGTTTACCTGCCTTTTTGAGGGATTCAGACGTCTATTTTCCCAGATCCGCAAGTAATTCTTCAAAGGACTACCTCTTGCGGACTCTGCTGGTGCTCCACATTTCTCGGGGCATTTGCTTGACCGAGCACGTGCCACCCTTGCGCTATTTGGCGGCCATGGTGGCTCACCTGGTGCCGGTCTATAGCCAGCTAGGTGGGAACGGGAAGCCAAGAAAAACGGGTGTTTTTGTTGGGGAAAGGGTTTGGCTCCGTATCTTGGTATCTTCAAAATCTGGTGTACTTCCAGGCTAACATCACTAAATTTCCACCTGCCCGATGGTGTCTTGTTCCCCAAAGTGTAGATATTCACGTTTCCACCCACATCTTCCGCACTTGGTAGCTAGCGAGCCGTTTTCCAGCTGCCTCCGCTGAGCACATGTAACTCCCAAGCAAAGAAAGCATGACAAAGCCCCAGTGGCAATTCACGACAACTGGGCTAAAGATGCGTACCTGATTTTCTCTCACGGTCGATAGTAGACGGAGCCCATCACATGTCCGCAATGCAAAAGAAACGCCCTTTCCTGCCTGCTGTAGAGCACAACTGGTCTTGGTCTCGATGATGATTTCGCTACGCCAGAGGCCGGCAAATGGATAGCAGATGGCAACATGAATTCGATATAATTCGATGAATTGTGTTTGACCAAAAACCATCAAAATGGATTCCCTCTCAAACGATAAAACCGCTCAGAACCGCGCCAGAAAAGCTATCCGAACCGGAGGCCTTTTGCTCTTCTTGGTCTACTACATCTTCGCCACGGTCGGTGTCCAACTCTTTGGTGGTTTGATCGATGTGCACAACCCAAACCTCGACCACACCGGCTTCGCCGAAGCCCAGCAGCTGGGCTCCGACCGGGACCACCGGACCGATTAGATACGGCAGAAAGTAGCAGAGTGACGAGCTCAAATCATGAGAAGGGCCATCCCAAACGGATGAAACGCCATGCCTCTGTGTTCACACATTTGTTCTGGGGTTGACCTTTTTCTTGGAAGCTGAAGTCGGTACAGCGTAAGCTGCGGTTTATTGGTTCTTCGATGTTCTTCGGGATTGTTTTGAGTTGGAATTCCGCTTGGAGAATCAGGCATTTGACATCCATTTTGTATCATTGCTGCGCGTATGTGTTTTATCCTTCATCGGAGATGGGCAACTAAACATCGTCTCTGCATATATAGAAACCAAAAGAGATTCTTATGGGAATGTAGCGTCTCGTTGAGGTATTGGCCGTTGAATTTTAATGACTTCCTCTCTGCCTTGGTGACCCTGTTCTGCTTGATGGTAGTGAACAATTGGTACGTGGTGGCGGATGGCTTTATGGCGGTGACCAGCAACTACAGTGCTATCTTCTTTGTGTGTTTCTTCGTGAGCGTCAACCTGGTGGTCCTGAATATCCTCATGACCCTCATTTTGGAGAGCCTCTTGGACGTCAAAAGATGGGAAACAGGCACTCAGGAAGCGGAACCGCTGCCTAAATAGGTCTAAAGACATTGGGATCATCCCAGTTTCACCATGAACAAGCATTTAGGAGAAGTCCATTCCCTATGGATCCACATACCTTCGCCTCTCAGGTAAGTGGACCCTCCAGACTCGCCTACATAATAAGCAATAAGTAGTCTCCAATCACCAATCACCTTCTCAGAAGGTCTGTGGATCTATAGGGATTTATAATGGGATTTAGGTTAGATTATATAGTGTTTACAACTAGACGTATACAAGCCACAGGGAAAACGGAGGCTTACACTGTTCATGGTGAGATGGGTGCCAGACTGCTTTCTCGGTGATGAAGTCAGGTGAGAAGCGCAACGAAACTGCAGTAAGAGCTTAGTTAGGAAAGTGAAAGCACTATTGCCTGCATGCTGGGATGACTCTTACATCCTCATGTACAAAGTGGTATGGAACAAGAAACAGTTTTCCTGCTTTGGTGAGCTGGAAAAATGCTTTCTCCACCAACGCTCTTGTTAGGGGGCATGTTTTCCTTCGTTCAAAGCAATTAGCAATTCCAGGACCACACTCCCTGGAACTGTTTTGGGGTCTCTCTCTATAGACCTCCCTCAATTGTCTTGTGGGAGTGGGAGGTTTAAAATGTTCCAATCCAACATGACGACATTCTGAACAATTTTTGATTCACACCCTCCAGGTGGCGCAAACCGCACCTTGGAAACCGCTGGGCAGTAGGGACCTCACCCATTTGCAGGTCTTTGATGAGTCTAGAGCTGAAGGTCCAAAAGCTTGCGCTTTTCGTTTTGCGCATGTTCACCTGCGGGACGAGGGGTGAACGTGACGACAACTGCTTGGAATCAAACGAATTCACGTTCGTGTCTTTTTGAGGCATACATCTCGATCTCAGTGGCAGTACAGTCCTTATACAGTATAATTAGATATCTTAGATACAGCAGAACACCCTACCAAATGCAAGTGTCGAGGTGAAGCATGTACTGTACCCCACCCCTGTGCTTCCTCAACAGACCTGTACTCCCACCACCCCAGCCCAGCCCCGCCGTGAGGTTCCGCGACCGTGCGCCACGAGCTCTCCGCCAAGACCAGCGAGGACGACGCGCCCCAGCGCAGCTGGAGCCGAGGCGAAGGGGGGAGAGCGGGCTGAGTCGGGGGGCGGGGCGACGGATTTGTGCGGCGATTTGTGGGGTCATACCTTATTCATTGATTAGTCAGCAGGGATTTTGATGACATGGTATTTCAGTTGAAGTGTATGACCTAACAAGAATGTGGAACACATCCAGCATGATCATGCGCAAGGTCAAGGTCCTTCGGAAGTTTAAGCCATGCCAGGCGCCATCTCTCCAATCAGAAATGGCGAAGGGGGGGTTGATCAGTTCATTTCAGGGAGCTTCACACACTTGTTCCAGTGACTTGGAGCTTCTTAGGATCAAAACCTCATCCACTCTAGACTCCAGGAGCGAGGGAATTCTTCCTGCAGCGCATGCTTCTCAGTGAGGAGGAGCGTTGGGACAGCGTGGTCGAGCGGGGCTTGAGCCCCGGACGTAGCACCTAACCCAGCGCCATTATATCTCGTGCCTCCCCAGCGCGGTCACGGCCAGCGACGCAGGCTGCTCCCCTAAGGTGGAGAACTGCGATCAATTGGCGAACGACCCAAGTTTGACCCCATGGATTTCAGAAGTCTCAGTGGTCTTAGGACTGGTGGTCAAATGAGCCAAAAGCCTCCAATTGCTAAAGTGCAACAACCATCCACTATGACCAGGTTTTTCATTTGGTACTTGGCTCTGTATTTTGCTGGGCCCAATCATTGTGAGGGCATCTACCGTGTGCCAGATTAATGCAGATTTACTTTGCAACTGGTGACATACAGTATTTTTGGTATTGCCGATCTCCAATTGGAGATGGTGTCTTCGATGACTGTAAAGTATCGTTATGCTTCATGGCCTGTGCACAGGAAGCAATCTGTTTTTTGCTGAAAAAGGATGCTGGCTGCAAACCATGTCGACCTTACTTTTTTCGGCGTTACCGAGAGACTTTCCTCTATGCTTGACTGACGGGAGTTTGAGATGAAACCGACTTAGATCTATGAATTATCCTGAATCCTTCACTTTCCAGGTTCCAGGGTGTCAACCAGGCAGTCTTTCTTCAGAGAGCACCACGGAAAGGGTGTCCATGAAGCCATGAATAGACCCTTGAAGGTCAAGGGGTGTCCATTAACCACCCCTTGGGGGTCCTGGAGTTGCTTGAGGTTGCTTGAAGATCCCCTGAGCTGTTGGTGGCGAAACCGCCATCGCCGCCCTCCGCCAGCGCTGCAGGTGGCCGCCACGTTTGCGCCTTCCCGAGCCACCTCGAGGCGAAGCCTGCTCGCTTGGCACGGCGCCTCAGCGGCGCGTTCGCAGGAAGTTCCTCCAAGAGACCAGATAGCGAAAATAGGGTGGTCGAAACAAGTGGGACCAAGTGGTGGCCTGTTTTTTCTTCTGCCTATGGTTAAATCCCCTTCTGGGGAATTCTCTTTTTCCAGGTTCCTTAAGCAAATCCAAGTGGTGAGAGTTTCATCTCAAGGTTTGTTTCAGGCTGTTTCAACACACAAAAGCGTAGGATGAAACACCTTGAAGTGGCGATCCCCCTCGTCTCCTCTCTCTCTCTCTCTCCGACAAACCCTGGCTCAGGGATCTTCATTGGACATTCCTTCGATGGTCCAAGGATGTGGCGTTTGGTTTTGTTGTGAATTTGTGTGAGATGCGACGGTCAAAAGATGTCCAAACCCACAACTAACCCCAAAAACCCTCATAGCTGAAGCACTGTGTGTGTGTGTGGGCATAGGGACATAGGAGTTGCAGGGTGGAGTGAGAGTGAACATGCGGTCATGCATACAGCCTTTATGTTCAATGTTTTGCTGTTGTAAACGTGAGGGAATGAAAGAGGACTCCCTTTAGACTTTACGCGCATGTATTTGTCACATCCTCATGTTTGCAAACTGTGAGCAACAATATCCTATGTCAAATCAATCCACTGCTCTTCAGGACTTGTGAGTCCTTCCCCAGAATCGAATCGATCTCAACAAAAACATACATGATCAGACTTCCATATGATCACACATGATGATTAGACATTGTCAGACATTCGAGACGGATTGCTTTAAGACAACAATCTACAGGAAAGCTAGATGGGGTTCAGCCCCAACCAATCCGTCGATTGTAGATGGATTTCAGCCCTCCAACCAATCAGATCATGATGTTTTCAGCCCCCCAACCATGGTTTTCCTGTAGATGTTCCCTTCAAACCCATGATCTGACAGAATCCGACGTTCAGGACCGGGTCCGTTGTCTCCGCGCTTGGGCGCGACGACCCGAGGTGCAGGACCTGGAAGGAGGCGACTTCTTCCGACAGATCCGCCCGGGCACTGGAAGGGAAGGAGCACGTCTCTGGTGTTTTTTTGGGGGGTTCAGAGATGTGAGGTGTCCAAAAGATCCAGAGGTGTCCAAGCACCGCGTTCGCAGGGTTTTCAAACCTCGTTTTCCCATTTTCAACCACCCACCTGCATTTCCCTGTTTCCAGCTTTTCGGGATGACAGCTTCCGGGGCTTTGTTGAGCCCAAAGAAAGGCGCCAAGCAAGTCCCGGCCCCACGACGGGGTATCTAATACCCACAACACCAGACGGGGAGGAGCTCAAGGTTTGAGCCACTCGGGATTCGTTTGGTGAAGAGTTTGGCCCCAAAAAAAGGCCCCTCAAAGAGACTGGTCTTTTAGAGCGAAAGATTGCAATAGGATTTGGAGCGAAAAACTCAGAGATCTCACCCTTGGAGTTCAAGGAATGGCAGAGAAGAATTTTAAAAAAGGAACTTGGGATGTACAGACACTTTGACTCATGTCCAGCCCTTTTGTTGGGTGAAAGTCTTTGCTTTGAGTACCTTTGGGTGGATATGGTCCATCTATTCTCCCTCCGTGGTCTGCGGCACAGCGACGCTCCCTTCGAAGCGAGTCTTTGCACGGAGGGGGGGTTCCGAAGGGGGCCATGAGGGTCGCTATGAGGCACCACCGCAGACTCCACGCATCGTGAATCACCAGAACTAAGCAGCCTGAGAGTGAAATCACTTTGAGAGTTGGTCAGATGCTTTGCATCACATCCAAATCTGCCACTATACTTCTCCTGAGGCACCTGATCTCCGCTGATCCTACACCGAATCCGACCAGGATCCGATCTGAAATTGGCTGCACTCCTAATAAAACCCCAGACTCCAGATGGGTTTTCAACCCCAGATATCCTTCCACAGTAGGAGCCCAACGTTTGCTCCAAGGCTTCCAACCTGAAGGTGTCGATCGCCCAGAGATGTGGGAAGAGTGGTCTTTTGACCAGAAAAAACATGACACGTTCCACCATGTTCCCCCAGTTCCATGAAACTGTCGCTTCTTGCGAACGTTCTCGCCTGTCACGAACCCAGCGCATTGCGACATATTGCGACATCGAGTGAACCCCCGATTGAAACAGCACACCCTGCAGGATTCCTGGCAAAAGAACCGGTCCCTTCACTGGCAGAAACCGGAAACAGAAAGAACCGGTTTCTTTTGCGCGAAGGGACACGAGTTCTTTTTACATGCAATCAGGACAAAAGCAGCAATGCCATCATGTGGTCCAAAACATGCATTAGGCTGTATGGGGAAGTCACTTCTTCATGCCGCAAACTCATGACATATGCTGATTGGTACGTTGAAGAAGCATGCAAGCTGAACGTCCACGTCTTGTTCGCGGAGTACAACTTTGGTTGCTTTGGGATCCCGACGTGTTTGGGTGATATGAGTTTTGTCTAATTCTTTTCTGCGACTTCAGGAACTGATGTTTGGTTGGTTTGGGGAGCATGCAGCTGCTTCTTTTGCCAGTGCAGCAGGTCCATTTCTGGCAGCATATGCATGCTATGCATGCAAAGAGCTCATCTCATGAAATGCCAAAGCCAAACAGCTCAAGATTGATGCGTTACCCTAGGGTTCCAAGTGCCTTCTGAGAAGGTGTTTGGGGTGGGTGCCAGGAGTGTCCAAATAACTTCTGAGGAGGTACAAAGCCCTAGGCCTATGATTAAAATATGGTTGTACACCGGCCAGGCAAAAGTTGCGCTTCTATTCACTTCTTGAAGTTCAAACTCATTACACCCCTTTCACCCTAGAACCCTCACTCAGAGACCTGGGACTGTCATTTGTCACACTGGGAGGCCTTTTAAACAGTTGTTTGCCTGTTTCGTGTGTGTCACGCTGTGCTACGTTGTGGATTTTGTTGGTGAGTCAGGTGTATTTGGTTAAGAGGAAAGATGATCCACACTTGCCCAAGCCATAGATGGCCTTTTTACTATCGGTTGGTTGTTCAATAGAGGGTTTTTTCCCCAGCCGTTCTACTATTCTTCCCAACCGTGGACATTACTTTGCCCAACCGAAAACGTTGCAAGTTTCGCTGAGGCACTTCACCTTCCCCTGCTGCAAGTGATGCGCTTGCCTTCGTGGGGCCTCAACCCCGCGGTGGACCCAGCGCCGCCCGAGCCCCAAGAGCACCGGCTGAACGCAAATGGGGCGAGGCTGCAACTCAGTTGGCTTGGCTTCTCGCCGCTGGAGTGACCCCCCAAACTCGCCTGCGTGGAACAACAATGCCCACATAGTGGGTTCCAGCAATGACCAATGAAGGCCATAATGTTGGATGCTGATTAGTAAATGGTTCCTCAATAATGCTAATTTTTTCCAAAATTATTCCAGACCCCATGTTTGAAAAATGGCTCCTGAATAATGCTAAAGAAAAAATTTGGGACCCTAATTTCTTTATAAATATTGGAAACCTAATTAATAATAAGGGTTTGAATTCCTTCTGAACCCTGTCCACCTGCATTCCCCCTCCCTTCCCAGGCAAGCAGCCAGCAGCAAAGCAAAACACAGACAAACAGACCACCAACAAGATGTTAATTAACTAATTACAACCACCAATTCCTAATTAAACCCTCTATAAAACATTGCTCCTAAACAAATTTTCAAGGTAGTAGACCAGGAAGGCACCTGATCCTCAACAATAGATTTGTTTTTGGGTTCTCAATTGTGAAAAGTTTTTTCCACTGGAAAAAATGCTCATGGAATCTTCCTTTCCTTAGCTCCTGAGGCCAATTATTAGGATTCATTAGCTGATATAGTTTTCTCTAGGTTTCTTCAAAACTGACAGCTTTCTCACAGGAATTCTCACAGGAATTCTCACAGGAATCCAGATTTGTTTTGGTCGTAGTTTATTATAGAGGGTCCTCTGTTTGTTTGAGGTAGGGGGGGGACCCCCCTTTACTAATCAGGATCCAACATTAGCTGATATTGAATCTGGTGCTTCACCTTGCCTAGCGGGTGATTTTGTTGAAAGAAGACATCCTGAAACCGTGTCTTTGACAATTTTAGGTTGTGAACATATCCTTGCACGAACAGGAGGAGGGGGAAGGGCTTGCCGAAGAAACTCTGTGGAAAGCTACAAGACTCCTTCGACAACCCCTACATTCATCTTTCTTTTGCATAATTCCCGCAAGTGAAGGACATGCAGAAGGCTTGGCAGAGGAAGCCACGTCTATGTTGGTTGGGTAAGAGCCGTTGGACAGAAAATGGATCTCATCGTCTTCCATATTCCGGAAACTCAAATTACTTTTTACCAACGCTCAAACACGATGGAGATAGACCTTCAGTAAATACACCGCGTCAACTGTTCTTTGGCATCGAATCTACGCCCGTC